GAACTCGGAGGTGCCGGAGTAACGGTGCTTGGATCGGTCGGATCGGGAAGAAGACGTACGACTACTTCCTCTACGTTGTGAGATCGCTTCCGCAGTCGGTCTGCGTTGGTATGTAGACAACACTCTCCCCTCTCGTTGCTATGCATCACCATGATCTTGCGTGTGCATAGGAAATTTTTCGAAATTACTACGTTCCCCAACAAGTTATATTATGAGTTTATGCATTTTGATGTACCGAAGTTTGTTCGGAGTCCCGGATGTGATCACGGACATGACGAGGAGTCTCGAAATGGTCGAGACATAAAGATTGATATATTGGAAGCCTATATTTGGATATCGGAAGTGTTCCGGGTGAAATCGGGATTTTACCGGAAAACCGGGAGGTTACCGGAACCCCCCGGGAGGTACATGGGCCTTAATGGGCCTTAGTGGAAGAAGAGGAGAGGTGGCCAGGGCTGGGCCGCGCGCCCCTCCCCCCCTAGTCCGAATAGGACAAGGAGAGAGGGGCCGGCGCCCCCCCCCCCTCCTTCTCTCTCTCTCTCTGTTCCCACCTCGCGAATCCTATTCCAACTAGGATTGGGGGGGGAGTCCTACTCCCAAAGGGAGTAGGACTCCTCCTGGCGCGCCCTATGATGGCCGGCCGGCCTCCCCCTCTTGAACCTTTATATACGGAGGCAGGGGCACCCCTAGAGACACAAGTTGATCCACGTGATCGTATTCTTAACCGTGTGCGGTGCCCCCTTCCACCATAATCCTCGATAATATTGTAGCGGTGCTTAGGCGAAGCCCTGCGATGGTAGGACATCAAGATCGTCACCACGCCGTCGTGCTGACGGAACTCTTCCCCGACACTTTGCTGGATCGGAGTCCGGGGATCGTCATCGAGCTGAACGTGTGCTAGAACTCGGAGGTGCCGTAGTTTCGGTGCTTGATCGGTCGGGCCGTGGAGACGTACGACTACATCAACCAAGCGCTTCCGTTGTCGATCTACAAGGGTACGTAGATCACACTCTTCCCTCTCGTTGCTATGCATCACCATGATCTTGCATGTGCGTAGGAATTTTTTTGAAATTACTACGTTCCCCAACAATTCCGAGGGCCAGTCTTCGGACGCCTTCTTCGGGGTTCCGGACAGATATCCGGTCCCGGCGATGCGCCATACTTCGGCTCCGCCCACTTGATACATTGACCCTTTCTTGGAATGGGGCACGAGGCAAAATATCTCCTTCCACAGTCCAAAATGAGCTTCAATAACCAAGAACAGCTCGCAGAGGGCTACAAAGCCCGCGATATGCAATACTAAGGCAGGCGTGAGATGATGTAGCTGGAGGCCGTAGAACTCCAGCAGCCCCCGGAGAAACGGGTGGATGGGAAATCCGAGCCCCCTTATTAAGTAAGGGACAAGCAGGCACACCCGCTCTCCTTTGGATGGATTAGGGGCATTCTCTGCTTGCTCTCCGCCGTTGTAGATGGCAAGACCGGCTCGGAGCGGGACCATATAGGCCGGGGGGAGAAATCCCTTGGTCTGAAGCGTCACTAGCTCACTATGCAGAGTAGAACATCTCTCCCAATATCCAGGCTTAGGGCTAGGAGGGCGAGAGGAGGAGTTGCGGCGGGTGGCCATGGTGGAATGGACCTTTGTTGGATGCGCTCTGATGAACACTCGTGGAGGGGAGAAGGTGTGGATTGGATCTAAATCCTCGTTCCCTTAAAAAGGGCAACTTGTTTACGCGGCTAGGGGTGTAAACGTAAAAACACTCAGACTTTTCATATTCGTTTGACACGTGGAAAATGTCCATTATTGGGCGTAGAAGCCAAGGAGCGCAACATCTACAAGAAACCGGACTTTATTCAAACGGGTACACGGAATTTGGAGGAGAACCCGCCTTGCAATGCCGAAGACAATCTGCGCACCGGACTCATCGCCATTGAAGCCTGGTTCGGGGGCTACTGAGGGAGTCTTGGAGTAGGGGGTGTTCGGATAGCCGAACTGTACCGTCAGCCGGACTCCTGGACTATGAAGGTACAAGATTGAAGACTCCGTCCCGTGTCCGGAAGGGACTTTCCTTGGCGTGGAAGGCAAGCTTGGCGATACGGATGATCAGATCTCATACCATTGTAACCGACTCTATGTAACCCTAACCCTCTCCGATGTCTATATAAACCGGAGAGGGTTTAGCCCGTAGGACAACATACACATCAACAATCATACCATAGGCTAGCTTCTAGGGTTTAGCCTCTCTGGTCTCGTGGTAGATCAACTCTTGTAATACCCATACCATCAATATTAATCAAGCAGGACATAGGGTTTTACCTCCATCGATAGGGCCCGAACCTGGGTAAAACTTCGTGTCCCCTACCTCCTGTTACCATCCGGCCTAAACGCACAGTTCGGGACTCCCTACCCGAGATCCGCCGGTTTTGACACCGACAGTCATCATGATGGTTTGGTTCGGGCTGCGTCCCAGGTTGGCGAGTTTAGCCGTGTTTCTTTTTTTTCTGTTTGGGCTGAGCATCACGTGTCCCTCTGATCCGGTTGCCATGTCATGCCTTCTGCGTTTGTGTCATGCGTTGTATCCCATGTACTCACGCTTAACTTCTTTTATCAATGAAATGATACACAAGCTTTGCGTATTCACAAAAAAAAAATTGCTCTAATATTTTTACTTAGCTCTATTATTGGCCCATAGGTTGGAATATTATATTTCCTCACCATTTGGTCAACCTTTTCTTTAGAACCACGTGTTTGTACTAGACCGATGGTAAAAAGACATTTAAAATATATACTACCTCCGTCTTGATTTATTGGCCCTTCAGTGTCTTGTGTCAAACTTTGACCATAGATTTAACTCAGAAAAATAATAATGCATGTCATCACAAATTATATCATTGGACTAGTATTTGAACATAGCTTTCATTGATATCATTTTGTGTTACATGCATTAACATTTTATTAGTTAAATCTAAGATTAAAATTTAACACAAAATGCGAAGGAGAACAATAAACCAGGACGGAGGTAGTACCAGTGAGTGCACTTTTGATGTTAGATACATCCATATCTAGATAAATCTTAAACAAATAATTAATTTGAGAGGGAGGTAATATATATGATAGTGGCAAATGAAAGGGCGGGCCGTGACTGGTAATCTCAAACATGAAGCTGATTCGGGAGTGGTGAAAAAGCATGTCACCACCATGGTGCTCCAATAACTTAGCACCTGATTTAGTTGGTTCTGAAAAAAAAAAATAGCACCAAGTTTAGACTAATGTTGGGTGTGCTCTTATACGCCACGGTGCTTTAAGTATTTACATTCATTTCACCAAATTCATAAATTTCATACGGCGAACCCATTTACTACAAGTGTCAGAATTTCTGGTTATCATCGATAATCGCATTGTTTAACTCAGCCTCATAAACACCTTGATTGTGAAGTCCTTCATCAGGATTTATGGACCCCTTTGCATTATGAGTCAAATATTGACCATCTACATGACTAAAAAATGTAATTGTATAATAGAAAAGGTATATTATTAGAGATATAATTGAAAGGTAATTTCAACCTAAATATGAGGGGGCTTAATAAACCCTCCAGGTGGAGGGTGTACGGACCAAACAACAAATTTAGCACAATTTAAAAACTACAATCTTTGTCAAGGATACAAGCACATAACCCCGCGTCGCTCATCTTCAGGACGCATGGGCACACGATGCCGCCGCCACTAGTCTACGACCCCCTCTTTCCTCCCCAATGACAACGCCATCGAAGGGTGTTGGTAGCCAAACCCCACGCGAAGTCGGCAATAGAGGCCCTATTCTCTTGCAAGTGATGGTGCTCTATGTGGTTGGCGTTGTCTGACGGCGTCCATGCGGCGTGTTAGGGGCGGCGGATCTATGGGCCTCACCTACCAAGATCTAGCCTATGGCATTCGTGTCGATCCTAAAACCCACTAGCCGACTCATCTACATGCTTTAGGTAGGGTACGTTGGTCCAGCCATTTCTGGAGCAGTTGCCGGGATGGAGGTGGAATGGTTGATCGCGACGCAACCTAGTTGCTCCATGTCCCGTCTTATTGCCTTTCTTGCTTGGAGATTGGGCAAAGCGCGAATTTTCTTGTTTCCTATCGCAAATTCGCAATGGATTGGTTGTAGTGACGGGCCAGGAATTTAATCATGTGCAGTCAACTCAAAGTTGTGTACACATATGTATGCACCTACGAATTTTCTTTTGCATGATTTCTAGTTCTTATATGTCATTGTTGTCAAAAAAGTTGTGTAGTCTCCCTGCAAAAAAATAAAAATTTGTGTAGTCTTCCCTCAACGAAAGAGTTGCGCAGTCGAGTGAAGACACATCCATGCACGGCTTGGTCGCTGTTTGGTCGCTAATCCGGGGGGATTAGCTTGCGTAGTATGCATGCCAGAGAGGCGTGGGGCCCTGACGACTCTCCAGCCGCTTTCTTCTTCTTCTTCTTCGTCCTCTTCCATGGAGAAAAATCAAGTGGTGTTGGTGAAGAGACGAGACGAGACGAGACGAGGAGTCGCTAGTCGTTATTACCTGTGCACAGCTAATACCGCCGGCCACGCGTACCCCCTGACGGCGACCGGAGAAAGCCAAAAAGAAAAGAAATCAGCAAGCAAGCAAACAGTTTCGTGCATCCGACGGCAGGCATGCGGACGCGGACTGCGGCCGCCAACCAACGCCACGAAGCTTCGTCCACCAACAACGGCCGGATGGATCGCGTCGCCAGTCCATTTCCAGTGGGTCGGTCAGCGGCGCTTCCTCACCAAGCTCCCTTCCCTTCCCTTCCTCCTCAATCCAATCCATCAGCGACAACTCACCGGCCGGAACGCGGTTTTACCTGGCTACCGGCGCTTAAAAGACGCCATCGCCAGCCAACCACTGAACCACAACGCAACGCCACCACGCAACGCATCCCGCTCCATCGCCACCCACCGCACACACGTCTCTGCGCGTACGTGCCGAGCTCTGACCGGACGGGCATGGTGCACCACCACCGGGCGAGCCTCCTGCAGCACCACGACCAACAGAAGCTCGACGAGGGGAAGCAGCAGGCGGACGAGATGAAGGAGCTCCGGGGCCGGCTGGTGGACTACGCGTGCCACCACCGCAAGCACGGCCACGACGCGCTGCTCCTCATGCTCGCCGGCTTCGCCTTCGTCTCCTGCCTGCTGCTGCTCCTCCCCAACAGCCCCTTCTCCGCCGCCATGGACGACCTCCTGCAGCTCGGCCGCACGCGCCGCTGCGACCAGGAGATGGCGCCCACGCCGCCGGCGCCCTGCGCGGGGGTGCCCTACGGCGCCGTCTGCTGCGACCGCAGCTCCCCCCGCGCCGACCTCTGCGTCATGCGCGGGGACGTCCGCACCCACGCCGCCTCCAACGAGCTCTTCCTGCTCGCCGCCGCCGCCCCGGCCGACGAGCGCATCCGCCCCTACACCCGCAAGTGGGAGTCCAGCGTCATGAGCACCATCGACGAGCTGCGCCTACGGGCCCTGCCCGACACCGAGGGCGCTGCGCGCTGCGACGTCCGGCACGACGTCCCCGCCGTCGTCTTCTCCACCGGCGGCTACACCGGCAACGTGTACCACGAGTTCAACGACGGCATCATCCCGCTCTACATCACCGCGCGCCGGTACAACAGGAAGGTGGTGTTCGTCATGCTCGAGTACCACGACTGGTGGATGACCAAGTACGGCCACATCGTCGAGCAGCTCTCCGACTTCCCGCCCCTCGACTTCTCCAACGACACCCGCACGCACTGCTTCCCGGAGGCCGTCGTCGGCCTGCGCATCCACGACGAGCTCGCCATCGACGCGTCGCGGATGCCGGGAAGCCAGGGCATCCGGGACTTCCGGCACATGCTCGACGACGCGCACCGCGGCCGCATCAACGCCATCATCGAGGAGGAGAACGCCGCGCCACAAGCGGCGCCGGCGGCGTCAGCACTAGCGAAGAAACTCGTCACGGAGGTGGTCGCGGACGACGACAAGCCGCGGCTGGTGATCGTGTCCCGGAACGGGTCGCGCGCGATCGAGAACGAGCCCGACCTGGCGCGCGCGGCGGCGAGGGCCGGGTTCCGGGTGACCGTGCTCCGGCCGCGCCCGGACACGGAGCTCGCGCAGATGTACCGCGTCCTCAACGGCTCCGACGTGATGGTGGGCGTGCACGGCGCCGCCATGACGCACTTCCTCTTCATGCGCCCGGGGTCCGTCTTCATCCAGGTGGTGCCGCTCGGCACCGACTGGGCCGCCGAGAACTACTACGGCGAGCCGGCGCGGCGCCTCGGCCTGCGCTACGTCCCCTACAAGATCCTGCCGTCGGAGAGCTCGCTGTTCCGGCGCTACGCCAGGGACGACCCCGTGCTCACCGACCCCGTCGCCGTCAACGCAAAGGGATGGCAGGTCACCAAGAAGGTGTACCTCGACGGGCAGAACGTGCGGCTGGACATGGCGCGGTTCCGGCGGCGGCTGCGCGAGGCCTACGACCACTGGGCGGCGCAGCGGCGGCGCCAGCAGAGCCAACCGTTGTAGCATGGGCGGTGTCCATACTCCATACGTTTTTCTTTGTTCTTTTTTTTTCTTGCAGAGAGAAGATGCATGATACTGTATAGAAAAAAAATATTTTTGTTGTTTACGAGGTGAGTGAGATTGGTGATGACACTAGTTAGCATGTGCAAGATTCTTTTTCACATGTCAAGACCAACAGATGGTGTACATAATAAATGGAAATGCAGAGTCTAAGTAAACGCCTCTTTAAACAAAATTTCTTAAACGAAAATTCTAGAGAACGAACAATGTTCTTGCAATCTAACTTAGAGCATCTCCAGCCGTTCAGCCCTTTAGGACGCCGAAAAAGAGCCTCCTGAGACGAGCCGACGCTAGATTGACGCGTGGGGGCGACCTAGCTCCCAGTCGTGGCCCACAAGTCGCCCCGGTTTGATGATGTCGCGTATAAAAATATATGCAAACTCGACGACTTTTGCACGAACTCGACGAAACTTCACTGAAATTTGAACAGAAAACATCAAAACATGCAAACTACGCCTGAACTACGCCAAATTACGCCTAGCCGCCACCGCCGTTGCCGTCTAGATGCCGAGAAGCCTGTAGAAGTGGGTGTAGTTGCCGTCATCGTCGTCGTCGCGCGGCTGGCTTGGGCCGGCGCCGTCCCTGCTGCAGCCCTGGCCAGGGTCGCCGAGACGTGGTGGCGCGCTGGACGGCCCGGCCTCATCTTCCTCATCGCTGTCGAGGACGATGACGTTGCACTCCTCGTGCCCGCGGCGCCAGGCCTGGAGCTCCGCATGCCCGGCGCTAGCGGCGGACCTGCTCCCGGACGTAGTCCTCCTTCGCCCTCTTGAGGGTGGACTCGTCGTCGGGGGCTGCCATCTCGACGTGCTCCGGGTTCACCGGGAACAGCCCCGGCTCGGGCTTCGGCCGGACCAGGTGGAGGGAGCCCCTCCCCGGAGCCGGGGTAGGCAGGGTGGGCCGGGCACCCTCGTTGATGACGAGAGCGCCGCTGCGGGTGCGGCGCCCGAGCGGCGTCTCCTCCGGCTCAGGCTTGACGGGGCGGAGCGCGGCCGGCGAGCCGGAGCCCAACAGCGAGGACGACCTCGGCTCCATCCGTCGGGGCGTCCAGGAGCTACCGCAGCGGCGAGAGAAGGACGACCGCAGCGGGTACTCGAGGTGCGGCACGTTGCCGCACTTGATGTGGTCGAGGACGACCTTGAGGGTGCGGCAGGGCATGCACGCCTCACCACGCGCCGCCCGTCGGCGTTGTGGCGCCCCCGCGGAATGACGTCGTTGGTGGAGGCGATTTGCTCCTCGCGGCGGCGTTGGAAGTACATGGTCCAGAGGGTGTTGTTGTCGGCGGCGTAGCGCGGTTTGTTCCGCCGCTCCTCCGTTAAGGATGAGCGGATGCGGACGATCTCAGCCCGCCGCGCCGCCCCTTCGGGTACCGGTGGCACCGGGACTGCCGTCGGCGACCAGCCTCCACGTCCCCGGCACCCGCATGTCCAGGGGCGCCGGGTACTCCGCCTCGTACAGCAGGCGCGCGCCTTCACCTCTTGGAGGTGGCGGCGGCCGAAGCCGTTCGCCGCTCGCCGCCGCGCCATCACCTGGGTACCTCTCGGCCATCCTTCTCATCGGCGGGAAGAGGGGAGTGTCATTATCTAAGCCGGGAAGGGGGGAGTGAGAGTTGTGGCGTCCACCGGCGGGGAGGTCGTCTTTTATAGCCATCACGGGGCGGCGACAACCTGCATGCTGGGAGACGCGTGGCTGGACGTGCGTCGCGGCGCGTTCACTGCGTCGCCTGTGAGGCATCAATGGAGGCTGACCGGCACGGCAGCGCGACAGCCTTCACATTAATTCTCGCGGGAACCGAGGCGATGAGGACGACGAAGCGGCGCCTCGCTGACTCGGCGGGCCCATCCGCTTTCGCGCGAAAACCGCTCGCCCCGGCGCCCCCGGGCGCCCCCCCCCCCCAGCGCGCCGGGTTCGATCTGGGTCCGCCGGCGCCAATTTCAGCCCAAACCGGCGAAAAAGGACTCCTGGGGCGCGACTAGGCCGATTTTTAGGCGTCGGCACCGAAAAATCGCCTGGAAAATGCCTGTTGGGGGCACGGCTGGAGATGCTCTTACACGTCATTATAATCGTTACTGGCACTGGCGGACCTGAAACTTAGTGCTAGGATGCCACAGTTCACCTAGAAACTTAGTAGTGGGATTCAACATAATTTTAATACTTCAATTCAAAATTTATGAAAATTACGCTACAAATAGTCTAATTTCGTCGAAACATCGTTATAATCCCAACAAATAGTCATAAAAAAGCATTAATTTGTCAGAGAAATAGCGCCACTTCGGTGCCCGGGCTCATGAACAGTACAATGATTAAAAATAGAAAGAAAAAATTCTGATTTTTTTGCAAGCAAGATGTTCATGTGTGTGATGTTCGTACAGAGTTTGGTGAAGTTTGAACATTGAGGAGCGTGCGGAAGAAAAGACAAATCCGGCCATGAACACTGTTGTTTTCAAATGTTTCTCACATACCAGTTTTTTTTCCCACAAGCTACTCGAATGTGCAGACTTCATGAAAATTTGCATTAGTGTCACGCACCTGAGCATCTTGCATCACAATTTTTTTTGAAAATTTTGAAATGTTTTGAATTTTTTATGATTTACTGTTCATGCATCCGCTATCAGAGATTATAGATTGCTTTCAGTTTTTAGACAAGGTGCCATAGCACCCATGGCACTTATAACTTATCTGCCCCTGGTTGCTGGATTTAACTTTACAGTGCTGCGGGTGTTGGTTAGTGATGCATACAGGACATTAGCGAACAACATGAAAAAGGCCTGGTAGTGTCGCATCATAGTTGCCTTTTTCAAAACATTATGGGAATAGGAAAAACACATGAATATGAGGCCAACACATTAGGATTCTAAGGTACAAACAATAAAGAAATTAATAGTAGAAACATACTCTCTCCGTCTGGGCTTATTTGGCCCCCTTGTATTTTGAGACAAAGTTTTTGTTACTAACAAAATTTAAAGTATACGCCACAAAAAGTATATTGTTTGATTTGTAATTGAAATATGTTTCCAATGATTTAATTTTTGTGACATACAATTTACATTTATTAGTTAAACAGATAGTCAAATTTTAGCTGAAAATAAGAGGGGTTCTAATAAACCCGAATGAGGTGAGTAGTAAACATGTCAATTTTGCATAGAGATTGATTGGATGACGTAGCTGTCATAGACTTATTTTTGCAAGTACTATAACCTCTTGCTGGGAAACCAACAGAAAAGTATTGCAGAAAAGCAATGTGTGGATATTTTGGAGGATATATTCCTTTAAAGCAAAGCAACTCTAATGTAAAAATAAAATATGGGGTTCCGAATCGTGCAAAATTCTGTTGAAAATCCTTTGATAGAAAGAGGCCGTAACGAGGAGATATTGAAGGAGAAAAGCCTGAGCCAGGTATCAATTTTTTGTTCAATATAGAATAATTATTGACAAATATCATATTCCTCCACGACTATCAATGGTGTAGGTGACTGCATATTTTCATATATGTGTTCATCATTGGAGTACAACTGCAGAAATAAAATTAAAAGTGGTATCACAATAAATATAAACCAAAAGGTGCTGTTTATATAAAGAAATAGTTGAAAATACAAAGAGTGACAAAAGCACAATTGAATAAAAACGTGACTGAAGCATCACGATCAGGGGTTGCGTACTCGAGCAACAACTACGTTTCTTTTGAAGAATATATAGGCATGTCTACGTTTGGCAAAACGTTGCGATGGCTACCCGTGCTAATCGTTTCTTTTTCGCCTGGAAACAGTCTAAGGCTGCCATGGCCCACACGCTAACCCCCTGGTTGTTAGGGACGTCTAAACAAATGCGAGGAAGCGTCGGTTCGTTGATCCGGGGATTGGTGGGTGTGGCGTGGCATGGATCCTAGGAAAGCCAGTGTCGACGAACAGAAATCTTTTTGATGTATCGACGAACAGAAATCTGATTGTTTCGACCCCTCAACCTCCATGGTGGTTGGACGCGGTGGTCTTTCCGTTGCTTCCATCCAGCCGCTGCCTTTCGTTTTCCTCGCCCCCTCTTGGTTTGATCCTTTCCGGTTCCCCTACTCTTCTCTTGCCGTCACTCTCGAATGAGCAATGCAACACCTACGCCAGGAATCATGTGTGATTAACGTAACGGCCCCCTAGGTGGCATTTTTTTGTTGGACCAATTTGGCGGAGTGGGGGCCACCTAGTTGAATTTAGGGGATGGAGAAATTAGTTTATAGAAAGATTATGTAAGGAGGCGGTAGGTTTACATATGTGTAGCGTTTTTTCTATGAAGTACCTCAGCGAAGCATGTCATTGAATATTATCTTCCAGGTCGTTGCCGGAGTAGCTGTTGCCCAGTTTATTGTACTTTTATTTTTCAATGATACGTCTCAAATCTCTCTATAATTTTAATTTTTGATTCTTTCATGCACTTATAATATCATTTTTGAATACCTTTTATGGTAATTTCTATTTTTTTGGACTAACCTATTAATTCAGTGATCAGAGTCAGTTGTTGTTTCTGTTTTTTTTTTACTTTTTAGAAAATCCATATCTAGGGAGGTAAAAAAACATGAGTCCTTAATCTAATTTTTTGTTCAAAAGTATCGTTACCTGCCGGTGCCCCAACCAAGGGCCCCATATGTTGTGAGCGAATTTTCCTACGTAGTATCGTTACCTGCCGGTGCGCCAACCAAGGGCCCCATATGTTGTGAGCGAATTTTCTTTGATTTTACCACTGCTGCAAGTTCCCGTTCCGAGGAGATCAAATGTGGAGGTATGTTCCGACATCCCGCCGAAAGGGAAATCTATCACTAGAGGCTTCTTCATTAACATTGCTGCCTCCATGACCATATGTGAGTAGTTCCTTTAGGACCTGTTGGTTCATAGACGTAGCTAGATGAAATCTTCTCTCTCCCGTGATTCAATACAAAGTTCCCGTGAGCCGCCTCACATGAT